AGGGTGTGCACAGGGCTCCTTCCATTGAGCGTTCTCCCTTGCTGAGTATAATGAGTTAAACTCCTGGCAGGGAGATGGTAAGGATTATTTAGTTTCTTATTTGGTAACTTGTGATCATTTACAAAAAGAGGTGCCCAAGTGCTGAGAAGAGATTTTTTTAAAATCCCATTTGAATAAGGGCCCATTTAATTTAATTTTTTAATCCTCACCCGAGGATATGTTTCTATTGATTTTTAGAGAGAGAGGAAGGGACAGAGAGAGATGTAAGAGAGAAACATAGATCGGTTCCCTCCCACACACACCCCGAGTGGGATGGAACCCACAACCTAGGTATGTGCCCTGACCGGGAATTGAACCCAAAACCCTCTGGTGCATGGGACGACTCTCCAACTAACTGAGCCACCTGACCAGGGCAAATAAGGGCCAGTCTTTCTTTCATTCGTTTGTTCATTCAACATGTGTTAATTGGCTTCATTAATACATGTTGAATTAATGTATTCAGAATCTTGTAGGGCAGAGTTTTGAGTAGAAGGAAGGCATAAAGTGAACTCAGACATGGCTCCTAATTCAAAAAGCACGTGGTCAATTGGGCCAGAAAGAGATTGTCTAAATGATATAATCCAAGCATAATGTGGTAAAGATCATGAGTACAGCTACAATGATGCAGATGCTACTCGATACTTCCTCCCCAATAAACACTGCTGTGGACGTGGGTTCTAGCAACCATCCAGGGACTCAGAGGTCCAGGAATGCCAGGGGTGATTCCACAGCACAACTCAGCCACATACCTCTGCTGGCTCTGGACTGAGCCGTGGTCCCTGCAGGAGGAGGGAAGAAGATGGCAGTAGTGACTTAGGTGTGAACAGCCCTGTCTTTACAAGTCCTATCTTTATGTCTCCAGTAAGGTGTGAGAGCCATATTTCTCAGTGCCTCAACGCTTTGCCAAAAGCAGCTCTTATTTTCTTATCTGACTCTCTCCATTCAGGTTTACAACTTGTGAATGAAGCATCTTAAGAGATATATTAGTCAGTAACAAACAATCGTAAGTCTCTCCGTAGCTTACAATCATGGGTCCCTAAGTCTGTGGGGTTTGGCTGATCTAGGCTGTGCTAGGCTGGAATCAGGTTTGCGATCTCACTGAGGTTTGCTGAGGAGTTAGTGGGCCAGGATACCATCCACCATGAGTCTGGAAAGTCAAATTAAACAGAAAAACAGGAAAAAGCATTGAGACCACTAATCTGCATTTATCATTCTGAAGTGGACTTTGGTATAGATAACTATATATTTATTAATGACATATTTCCTACTTCAAAAATACTTGAAGAGACTTTGAAAAAAAAAAGTTATAAAGACCGGATTTGATCAAAAACGCAACCGCAGTGGAAGGAAGTTTGGTTCCTTTGAACAGGAGTGGGAGGCCACCGATGAGTAAGACTGGGGCAGTCAGTCCCGGGAGACGTAACCAGAGACCTGGTATATTCTGATGGGCACCTGGGGGTAGGGAGGCGGAAGGACACTTAGTCCAGCCCAAGGACAGGGAAGGCTCTGGAAAGGCTGGGGCTCCCTGGTGGAGATGGCTCCTGATCTAAGTCTTGAAGGATGAGTTAGAGTTCGCCAGGGAAAGCAATGTCTTCGACGTGGTAAGGAAACCTGGGCTTTCTGGCAAAAAGGGGAAGTACTGTGTTATTTATGTCTTACTCTCTGAGAAAAGGGACATACCTTTCTAAGTGCTAAAAATGAAACTCTAGAATAATGATTTTCAAGTATTTTGTGTGTAAAAAAAATCCCCCAAACATCATGGGACCTCAGCTCTAGAGATACTAAGTCAATAGTTCTAGGGTGGGGTCCAGGATTTTGAATTTTAACAAGCTCCCCAAATAATTCTGACGTAGGGTGGCCCTCTCCAGCCCACTGAAGAATATACTACTGTAAAAGGAATTTTTAAAAATATTTTTTTATTGATTTCAGAGAGGAAGACAGAGGGAGAAAGAGATAGAAACATCAATGATAAGAGAGAATCATGGATCGGCTGCCTCCTGCCCGCCACACACTGGGGATTGAGCCTGCAAGCTGGACATGTGCCCTGACTGGGAATAAAACTGTAACCTCCTGGTTCATAGGTCAACACTCAACCACTGAGCCACGTGAAAAGGAATTTTTAAATTCAGTTATTCATTTAGCACTGTCCTAAATATAGGGTTAGACTTGAGAACAAGACAGAGAAACCCCTTACACTCAAGGACACTCTGATCAGTTAGGGGAGAAGCACAGAATTGGAGGCTCTGCCCCTGCCCCTCAGGTGCCCCCCCGCCCCCCGACCCAAAGGGCCTCCAAACCAGAGCGCTGCACCTTGTTCCACAGGATTTCAGCTCCTACCCACAATCCTTCTCACTTTCACTTTTGGTCACCAGGCTATGTGCCTAGGCCCTGGGGCTCTGTCATGGAGGCGGTTCAGGCTGATGCCTATGGTGGAAACCCCCAGGAGTCTCCAAACCCTGTAGCAGCTGCTCCGAATGACTAGCTGACGAGTGTGTGACCAGGGTCAGCAGTCAGAATGCAAGGACAGAGGCCACTGAGGGTTCTGACAAGTGCAGAGGGGCAGGTTAGGGGGAACTTGGGTGTGTCGGCTCCCAGCTTCAAAGGTACAAAGGTACTGTGCTATGGGCTGAATTGTGCCCTCTCCACCCCTAAGAAATCCAGATGTTGAAGTCTTTAACTCCCAATGTGATGATATTTGGAGATGGGGCCTTTGGGAAATAATTGGATTAGAAGGGTCAATAGGGCCAAGCCCTCATGCTGAGATTGGTACCGTGTAAGAAGAGGCACCAGAGAGCTTTCGCTCCCTCTCTCTGCCAGTGGAGGATGCTGGGAGAAGGTGGCCAGGCAGGAAGAGGGCTCTCACTGAAACCTGACCGTGCTGGCTCCCAGTCTCTGACTTCCAGCCTTCCCGATCGATGAGAAAATAAATGTCTGTTGTGTCAGCCGAGCGGACTAGGACACAGGAGAATTGCTGTCAGCCCCTCTCCTGGCTGCGGCCTTTCTGCTCACTCTGGGGTTCTGTTTAATCCTTCTGCCCCAGCCATGCCCACGTATCTCTCTGGCACTCCCTCAGAGCCTGGAACCTTAACCTGCCCCCTGTGCCCTGCTCACTGGCTTCAGAGTGAGCGACAGGCACACCTATTACTCTTACCACAGCTGAGTTCTGGCCACCTTGTGATGCAAACACTGCAGAGCCATCAGCTGCCATCGGTTAGTGTTCAGACAGAACAAGAAGCCCCAGAAAGCGTATGCCAGGGTGTCAGTGTGGGTTTGTTGGGTGTGAGATGTGTGTATATTTCTGAGTGAGTGTGCATGTGGGTAGGTGTTGAGAGACTGAGTACAGTTGGACAATGGCCAGACCCACCACCTGCAACACACACAACCCAGGAAGCCAGCCTGCTACGAGTCAACGTACAGGAAGTCAGACCCTATCTCTAGTAACCACAAGTCCTGTAACAATTGGCCCCAATTTTTCCCTCCCACTTTCAATTCAGGAGGAGCAAATATGTGCCTCCAAAGCAATAACTAAATCTCCCTTCTAGCTCCCCATGCCAACAGCATCCCCCAGGGCACACCTGAAGCCTCGCCTTTTCCCCCTGTGAAGTGCTCCGCTCTGCTGCCTGCCTGTCAGTCTCAGCCAAAGCACGAGGGATGTGGTGGGCTCCCTTGCTGTAGCAAGCCCGGAATAAACAGCCTTTGCTTGTTCTCATTCGGTTGGTCTCCATGGATTTCCACAGTGTGCGTGTGTGAGAGGGAGCGCTGTGTACATGCGTGAGTGTGTGTGTGTGTGTATGTGTGTGTGTGTGTGTGCCTGTCTGTGTCTATTTTTTTTTGGGGGGGGGGCGGGAATGGCAATGTTGGGGCTAAGAGGGAATGCAGGGGTAGCCTGCACTGACTACAAATCTTACCATTTCTGGGTTTGTTCCCTTAGCGTCTGTCCCTTCTGTTTTGGAGCTGATGGGAGGGAGGGGAGATAAGGAGACAGGAGGGAAAGGAGGAGGGATTGGATGAGAATCTCTTCTGTAACACAGAGAGGTGATTGTAAAAGCCGGGGTTTGTTGGGGTAAAGTAATAGAGTCCCCAGAACCAGCAAGCACTTTCTGTTCGTGCCCTCCTGAGTGTGAGGCGTCTCAGGCGTCATTACCCCTGCTGTGTGCCTGCTGTTTCCTGCAGAGGCTCCTGAGACTGGGGCCCTGACTTCCTGCCACGGGTGTATCAGGATTTAATCTGAGGCTGGGCGGCCACTTGCCAAAATTAATGGTTGGTAAAATTAGAACAAACAGAGGTAAGATAGCCCATTACCTACCGCACAGTCTCCCTGTGATTTTAACTGCAGTAAAGAGATCACCAAGGTGCTGCCATTTTCTGATCAATGATGGTAATTTTCTTCCCCCTAAGATCAGTTTAATCACGGCAAGGGTCTCAGAGAGCACAGAGGTCAAAAGAAAATTATACGGTTGTGCAGGATGTCTCCGCGGCCTCAGTTTATTCTGCACATCATTCTAACCGATGGAGGGCTGTGCTTGCTCAGAAGTAACGCCGGTGCACTTGTAGCAGCTCTGAGGAACCGTCTGGCCAGGCCTCTGCAGGGGGCTGCAGAATAAGACCTTCTGTGGTTTTAAAATCAAAGAAACCAAGGCTGACACCTCGCCCTTGACAAGCACGTGCCTTGAGCCTGGGACCCAACAATGGTTTTAACAGGGGGTATGTGGCGAAATGAAGAGAGATCCAAGCCCTGGGCCTCTTCTGTTGCCGGTGTGTGGCAGCTGGGAAATGCATGCGAGTACAGGGTAACTGCCAACCAAACTCAGCGCCAGAGGGTCTCAGAGCCAGTGGCCTATTCCCTTGCGCAGCGAGAGTTTGATGAATAGTTCTTTCCCTGTTGCTTTCCAATCAATCATCGGGTTTTGATCGCGTCTATTTTCTTCCACCATTTGTTCTGTGTTGTCACCTAAAGGGCAAAGGCATATTAAATCAGGAGTTGACTTAATTGCCAGTTTAAAACATTAAAATCCATACTGTAAACCCATTAGCAAACTGCTCATTACACGAATCACCAACCTACTTCTTGTGCATATGAATGGAGACAAACAGTGACTAATGACATTAAAAGCAGCAATGCACTGAACCAAAAACTAATGGCTATGTCAGGGGCAGGGAAATTCCAGTCACCTTGAGTGTTTACACCAGCAGATCACTGCAGATGAAAGCTACTGGAAAGTGGTGTCTCATGATAACCTACAGGAAAGGTAGGTATCTGATGCCTCTGTCTGCCCAGTCTCTCTTAGCACCATAACAACCATGATTATGAAATTGCATTCTCTAGTGCTTAGGCCCTAACCCTAAACCAATGGAAGGACTTTGGTTAGAACACAAGAACCTAACACTCTAATCTCCCTGAATACTGGCCTAAACAGACACCTCCTTCCTGCATTGTTTTAATTGGGTAGAATTTCCACCCCATTCTAATCCAACTCAGTCCTATTTTGCTTGTTGTTAACAACCTCTGAGGAATGTATTGTCATGCAAAGAGGAAGAAAGGTGAAATGCAAATCCCGCCCCCTCCACGCCCCCTCCCCCCCCCCCCCCCAAAAAAATTTGCTTTTGGAAAAACCCCCTTTAAAAAAAAAATTTTCCCTTACCAAATGGGCCAGCAATCAGGCCCTTTGGGATTTTTCCGAAGGGGGGGGAAACTTTAAGTTAAACCAAATTACTGTACAGGAGGGGTTTTAGGAGCTTAATTTTTAATTTGAAAAAATTTTGAAAGAAACTACAATTTTCTTTGGAGAGGGGGGGTTAATCCCTGGGGGGACGGGGGGGGGATTTTTTCCCGCCCCCAAAAAAAAAAGTGAGGGTTTCCAGGTCGGAAAAAAGGCCAGGGGGGAAACCCTTAAAATCCCATAATGCTTAAGAGTAAAAGAAGCTAAATTCATAAAAAGCTTAATTCTTGTTTTGAGCCCCACATATTTGATTCTGGGAAAAAGCCAAAAGTTGGAAAAACGTAAAGAGGTCTGGGGGTGTGCTAGGGGGGGAAAAAATAATAATTTTTTTGGGGGG